CTTCGCAGAAGAAAATAACTGGTTCTTCCTACGCTCCTTTTTACTCCGGGATGCAATTTACGGCGTAAGACGTGCAATCTAAGGGGCCTGATGGATGCTCTAGGACTCAGAAGGGCAAGAAATGGGTCGGCACGGAGCGCCTGCCGACTTTGGTCCATTAGTCCGGTAATTGTTGAGCCGCACTCGTGGTCGATTTGAGCGTTAAAACCCGCCTCTCCTTCTTGTGCTCCACGGTAATGGAATTTCACGTGGGATCTCGTGAGGACGGACGCGTGTGGCACTGATGTATGGCGGTTTCCAGAACATTCAAGGTCTTTTTCTTTCAAGGTTGGGAACAAGCAATAACTCTTCAAGATCTTCAGATCTTCTGTTGCTTTTCAAGGTCCTTTATGATAGTAATCGAGTCAAGGTTTTGACGTTTAATTTGTGACCTTATGACAAATCCAGCTGCTGCAGTCGAATGATGATTTATGACCGTTCAAGCAACAACAAGCAATAATTCTAGATCTTCTGTTGCTTTTCAATGCCCTTTCTGACAGTAATTGAGTCAAGGTTTTGACGTCTAATTTGTGACCTGATGACAAATCCAGCTGCTTCAGTCGGATGATGATATGACAAATTCACCCACAAAAATTTAAGCCACAACAAGCAATAACTCTAGATCTTCTGCTTCCTTTCAAGGTCCTTTCTGATAGTAATTGAGGCAAAGAATGAAAAATAAGGTCCACGCCACGTCAAGGTTTTGACGTTTAATTTGTGACCTTATGACAAATTCCACATGCTGCTACCGGATGATGATATGACAAATGCATCCACAAAATTCAACACTTGTTGATCCAGCACCTGAAGCAGTGCGATCTACAAATCAAACAGTTGGATGTATATCCATTTTGTCCGCGCATTGGCTGCGGTGCACCAGTATCGGTAAAGACGGGGGTCGCCACAAGCTGCCTGTACATTTTTTTTTTATAAACAGCTGCCTGTACATTATGGTATCCACTGTTAACTGGATCACGTGCCCGCTCTACCCTAAACCTAGATAGAATTTCATGGAGCGGTACGTTGGTCTTTTGCTTACACAATTGCGCGCAGTATTCTTGCTTGAGATTCTAATATCAAGATACATGCATGCAAAGCCACCTTCATGATATCGAGGGTATTTTTGACCACAGGCATCCAAAAGTAATCATCACTGCGAAGGCTATCGTATCTTTAACCCACGCTATAACTTTCCTTGACGTGTAGAGAGGGTGATAGATACCATGTATAGCGTTACGTCAATATTACACCAGAAGTGTTGATAGTGGCAACCACAGAACATTGTACTGAGCAGACCTGCTATAAGTTATTGGTGTTGCAAAATGGGTAAAAATAGAGAAGAAAAAAATATGGCAAAATTTCTCATGAGATGTCGTTGCCATCACAGTAGTGCCGCCTGGTGGTACATTATGATACTGCAGCGCACTTAACAAAACGTTGGCACTTAATTGGTTCTCTAGGATACCTTTGATATGTTAAATAATCATCCACGCAATTTCGACATGAAATCCGTTACTTTTAACGTCCGTGATGCGAAACGTAATCTAAAACTATTCAATAAACCATAGGAAAACGTCGAAATCGTCTATAACAAACGGTTTACAAAAAAGCCTTTTTCCTATATGTTTGTCTTGTTGTAGCCCCTGGCCATGGCTACATTGATGACTTCCCATTGATGTAGCTATTCTGTATTCATCACCAAATCTTTGGCCCTAGCCTATCTCCCATACATTTGTATCCCTCACCACATAGATCACGCCGAATCTAGTGATTTATAGACCCGCTAAGGGCGAGCTTAGGTTTCTTTTCCAGATGTGCGTCCATAAATACACAGCTTTAACGGCATCGTTCAAATTAAAGTGGCTCAGAGATGGGAAATCCGTCGATTTGTCTTCGTCAGAACGGCGTGGAAAGTAGGCCAAAGCTGTTGGCTGTCGGGGTGATTTCAGGCTTAGCAGGACGCACAAAGAACGAGCCATTTATATATGTGTATTACCTCCGCCTCTTTTGTTGTGTTGCAATTGCCTAGCTATAGACCATATGTTGTATTCTGCGTACCTGCGTAAGTACCCAGCCACATTTCACTACTTCTTGTCCCTGAACCACAGTCATTCCACAACTTTTTTGTACAGTTCAGCATTAAAATATATGCGTCTGTTTTGATGCACGCGCAGTAAGGTGTTACAAAATACCTAAAAACCGTGATTCTTTTATCGTGTTGTAATTGCATAGCTATGGACCGTACGTTATATTTTGCGTACTTGCGTAAGTACCTAGGCTAGGAGCTGGTCCATAGCTGCCTTCCGTTAGCCACAGCCTCCTTAGCAACCTCCACGATTGTTTTTGTAGTTAGCAATCAACGTCCCAAGCTGTAAAACAACTTTTTATGTTGAACTGATTGGGACAAAAGGGCTCCCTATAGGCCACGTAGTCATATCCTGCATGTGCGTTGACCAGGAACCAATATGGAACAATGGAAAAAACTCTTCACGCTACACAATGTAAAAAAAAAACAGCAGTGAGAAATAAAAACGTTCCAGGTCAAAGCATATTGTATATAAAATTGATTGGGATGCAAGTATCCCTATGGGTCTTGTAGTCGTATTCTGTGTGTAAACTGGGAATCGATATGGAAAATTGGAAAAAGTTCAAAATTTACAGCTGTAAAAAAAACACCTGTCTCACATCTAGTTTTACCGTTGAGGTTACAATAAAAAAACTTTACTTCCCGTTTTACATTCCCAACAAGGCACCACCATTAAAGACTTCAAAGCGCGCGACCGATAAAAACACATAAGTACCCCTATCAGTAAAAGAAGGACTTGAAGTCGATGCTAATGTATTATTTATGCTCAAATAACACCTATCTTTACAACGAGAGGGGACAGCTTGGAGTGGCCTTTCTGTATTCCACAGGGAACGATTAGGCAATGACTTAAACTGGTGAAGACGGAAACAGCTTTTCTTTCATACCCTCTAAGTGTCATTACGTGTGGGATCATCGGATTCAGACCGAGGAGAGTTTTATTTGGCACGCCAAAGTGACGCCATGATGACCCGCTTCGATCCGAACGATTCCCGATAGCTGACTTGGGATTTCTTAAGCCCCTCAGTGGCGGCACACATTCACGAATTTGGCCTCCCGAACACCAGCCGAACGTCCCACAACCATGGTTGTGGGTATGTCGGTGCAAAGTTCGCTGGTGTTCGGTGAATTCGGCTACTATTCAGCTGTTTCAAAATGTTAAAAACATTCGGGGGTTGGTCGCGAGGTTCGGCAATGGTTGGCTGACATGATATTCGGCTATAATTCGGCCATACGTCCGCAGTGTTAAGGGCATGTTCGGGAAGGGGGTCAAATTTGACTCAAATTTAAGTCAAATTAGTTTCGATCCGTATAGAAAGTTAAGCGTGGCATAAATATGGTCAGACTGCTCCCGAACGTCAGCCGAACCAAAATCTAGCAAGTTGCTTGAGGAACTGTTTTTCTTGTGTTTTCTTATGTATCTCATTGCCTGGATGTCTAACCTTCATAGGTGTCATTTTATGGTATCTCTCCGATGGTAAGATAGTGCGAAGGTTAAGAATCTATGCCCACTATACATGCAATATAGGAGCGATTGAAAGACATACCAACCGTATGACATATTGAGCCTCTTTGCTGCGATATCATTTCCGTATATTTTTCATCCACGATACAATGGGCAAAAGATTGTTTGCAAAATGATCTTATTGCAGATATTGTACGCACAATAGAATGATCCATTTCGCCGATGTGGGTAATTGTTCTATCTTGACTCTAGGCGACGCGGTCTTTGGATTATTATGAAACTTGAGAGTGATTGATCAAACTTTCTATTCACCTGCGTGGTACCAAAACAAGGGCAACTATTTTGTGTTTAAATGGACTGCAATGTGAGCAATCAATCAATTAGGTAACCGAGAGAAACCTTCCCCATATACGTGAACTAATAGCTTTAAAGTATCATATTTATAAACAGACGAAAGTATTTAGGAGTACATTACTTAATTGGTCTTCCTAGCCTGTGCAAGACATGTGCGACGGCTAGCAGCACATAAAAGTACTGCAACTGAATTGTACTGAATCCCTCTTCTCTTAGAGCCGTCTTCAAATGTTTTTACTCAGCGTAAATGTTTTCGCTATACTCACAAATATCTATGGACGCCCCTTTCCGATACCGTGTCTCTGTTAATTCCATTACCTGTATTAGTGAGGGGAAAACAATCGGTTTTACAAAGACATTCTCATTTACCAGTCAGGCAGTTTTTCCGATGTGTTTAACTTCTTCAAAAGGCAGATTTCACCTATGACCGCCCACCTAAGTTTAGCTCACGAAAAAAAGAGCCATCCACAATCACGTCAGTATCTGTTACTACACGTTAGAATCAGTCCGTGACTTAAAAAGTAAAACGGGTTTACCTTCTCAATATCAGCCTGTATCTATTGAGAAGCGCTTTTCATGATCAGGACCATGGCGGCCGTCCTTTCAAACCTGGAGTACACATTTCCCTTGTTGATGCATTTGCCATGAGTTACCTTTGTGTCTTGCTCTATACAGTGCCGCAAGTTGTTTAAAAACGCTGTGGTAACTTTTGAGCAACAAGTTTTAATACGACGTTATCTAAAAGGTATATGGCGACTGGCCATTTCTATTACAATATGATTCCACCTAACACATACAGTATTGTGCACTTTTCTTAACAAAAGTGTTAGATAATTACAACAAAGGGCAATTAAACATAGATCATTTAAGCGAGCGACAGAACAACAGTTATGTGACAGTACACACATAAAGGAAGGCGCGAGAACAAGGTCACTGACGTCATTTTGCAAACGATACTTTTCCCCGACACAATGGCGGGAAACCCAATCCACATTGTTACCAACAGGGACCTCTTGTGCTACAGTAAACAGTGTGCAGACTCGTCCGACAGTTCTGTACGCACACACGCGCTCACACTGCCAGGGTGTGTCCAACCTCTATAAAATCTCTGCAAGATCATTTTGCATCATGTGAGACGCTGTATCGTTGGATTTTCTCCTAAAATTGACTACAGTACGTCGTTTGACGCAGTTTGCTACCACGTGCACGCTGCCTAAAAGGATTACAGGTGTTGGGTGTGCAGCTAGCTATCCGAGTTGCAGCGCTAGCAACAGACTTTACGCAGACTGCAGCGCCTCTTTTTTTATCTTAGACGGACGATCTTCATAATTCGCTATGCGGATGCAAAGAGGGACGACGCCGAAGTACATGGAGACGTCGGTGTCCATGAAGAACGCGTGCGCGCTGAACGCGTGGCAGGAGAAGGAGCTCCGACACAAGCTGGACGCCATGGACCAGATGTACCGCCAGGAGTCACAGGAACTCAACAAGTACAAGCAGTCCCTCAACACCATGTCTCACAGCATGCAGGTAGGTAGCTATAGGGCTGTAAAAAATCACGCTTTTTTCTACATATTAAACTACAGCAAAAACTGCATGATGGTTGCTTGAACATACTGAAACAGCATCGAAAATGTTTGACCTTGTCGATGTGTTCTGAGCAAGATGGCGGACACCAAGACTCAGCAATGTACTTACTTACCACATGTATCCGAATATTCTAGGCTTCTATGCATGCTTTGTTGTACTTAAGATGTGTTTTATATATATTATATTATATGGTTGTTTGCAGACGTTCCTACGCGAGGGGACCCACTACTGGACCAACTACGTGTCTCCGAACTGGCCCTGGGACTCGATCCCCCCGCCCAAGTTCGTGGTGGACAGCCCGGGTGTCACCGACCGGTACGGCACGGGCGGTCTGGCCGGGGTTCGCGTCTCCATCCCCGTCACTAGGAAGAAGAAGAGGAACCCTGCACAGCAGAGCAGGGCTGAGCAGCGCAAGGCTTCCCTCCCGATGATCGCGCCCAACCCTGCCGCCTTGGCTGCGGCGCAGAAAGCAGCTGCGAACGGCGGCGGTGGCGACATCGTGGTCGCAGACCCGACCGCGGGCATGCGGGTAACCCTAACCGCGCCTACCCCCAGCCTTCCCCGTATGCATAGCCGCGGCCCGAACCTCAACACCCCGAAGACCATCGCAGCTATACCCCCTCAAGGAGACGGTTCTACTATCTATATGGTTCCTGAAGACGAGGAGGTTGGGGATTTACAAGGACAAGGCAAGAAGCCTACTACAAAAGCCAAAGACCCGCTGTCGAAACTCAGATTTCTGCAGGATCGTTGGACGAAGAAGGACGCCAGCGACAGAGACTCGACGGAAGACGACGCGGAGAGTATCGGAGGGAAGACCACGCGAACCACCCGGACGACGAAGTCGCAACTGCGGCAGAAGATGCGGTTAGAATACGAGGCTCGCGTGAAGGCACGGAAGCAGAAGTCAGAGTGTTCGGAAGACGAAGAGGCCGAGGCGGCTGCAGAGTTTGTCACCGAGTACAAGACTTTAATGAACTGTAGGTATCTACGGCATCCCCCAACTAGCGTCCCGAAACACTACACAATTCTAGGGGTAAAAATCCAATGTGCTGCATATTAACGTTACTGGGAACATCTTTTAAGTTAAAAAAAATCTTTATGGACAACTGTACGCACATATAAGACGCAAAATTTGTGTACTTTATATTTTAGAACCAAGTGCTCGTTCCCCATCCCTGTAACTAAGCAACTAATTCAATATAGGAACCACCTGTAGAAAAAATGCATGTTATGCCAAGCCACACTAATGGGATTTACTACCACTACATTGTTGTATTTTAGTTGTCACTTTAAAAATTATGGCTTTTTCATCGTGCTATTCTGCACCGAGACAGCTTTCAGTGGTGGTCCTGTAAACAAGGTAGTAACATTACCCTCGGCGTCAATACGACCGGGGCCACCCGATCTGTTTTGCACGCCTGGCCGGGGTAACGCGACCCGGGCCGGGCCGTATCACAACTCCGCTAGGGTCGGGCCGTGTCCCGGCCACTACAATAAGAGGTCCTGAAACTAGGCAAAGGTCTAGCCTGACCCTTTGTTTTGCTGAAAATCGGGTTAAGGCTTGAGTTATTCCTTAGGAAACAGCATCCTACCCCGAGAGCAATAACAACGCCATTTTATACTCACCTGGCCAGAAAAAATAGCAAATAAAACTTATCTTAAAACAACAAGAATGAAAAGTTGTGTAAACACTTGCTTCTGGCATATGTATACTAGTCTAAGGGACAGTTGAGGTCTAGAATACCTCAACAAATGATTCGCTTAAAGCTTAAAAAACACTTTATAGACATAAGTCTTTTAAGGTTTTGTCTTACATTGTGGTCTATCTAGCATCGTCCAATGTTTTTATGTGATGAGTTGTTAGAAGCCTTTTAAGACAATGCTTTAGACTTGAAATATCGTAGTTTTATGTAATAAGAAATAATGTCAGTAATTGTTGCAGTATGCTGCTTTTGACGACATGACTTTTCATATAGGTTAATATGTACATGTCAAATATTAAGATGTACATTTTCCTTGTGATGAAATGAATAAAAGTTGACGTCAACTCTATATCATACCGAGTGTGTGTGATGTTGTGACTTATCAATCTTTGTAGGTCTATAAATTCTAAAGTTACAGTTTCTCTATTCAGGCCATAATGGCATTGTTAAGATGCTTAACAATGTCACTATGGTCTGAATAGAGAAACTTCTTTAGAATCTATAGACCTACATGTATAAAGATTGATAATTTAGTTTTCTGGTATTTTACTTTGTGGTATGAGGGACAAAGGAAAAGCTTTCAAAGTGTACTACACTCTGAAAGCTTTTCCTTTGTTTACAGTAAAACTATTAACAGACGTACAAAGCACATCTTTGTGATGAGTATTTGCTGCAACACATATTTTATTGTATATATAAAAAAAAAGATGTTGATTTTAAACATGATTCACTCTTGCCAATATTGACAAGAATTTCCCTTCGATGCCCCGACCAGCATTCAACTTTCAAATACTAGATATTAGCTGCTAACAATGTTAGCATTGTGAGCACACAATTATGTCAGCATTGCATGCAAGCAATAGTTGCTATTACAGTAAGATATGAGGTTATGATTTTTATCATGTTCATGTAGCCCTTGTCTTGGGCATTTCACAGACTCCTTCTGGGGCAAATTGGTTGGAACATTCAGATTTTTTATAATCATAATCTTCTTTGATAACATTTCATCACTATCACGCAAGATACTGATAGTATTCTAGCCATCTTTCCAGCAAGGTTTGTCAACCGAAATTTTTCATCCACGCATGACCATACAATATAAACGCTTATTGTAAAAGCTACCAGTACTTTCAAAGCTGTTTTAGCATGTCTTGCATGTCTACAATTAATCCACCCAGACTTAATTATGCAATTAATCTGGATTAATTCACCAGACTTAGCTTGTAGTTAAGCCAGGATCGCTTCAGCTTGGATCAGTTTGCACGCCGTTTTCTTTCACCGCATTTCAGCACTCAACCAAACAGCCAACCAACCACCACATTTTGGCTTTGCCCCCCTCTCACAATTTTTTAGTCCATACAACCATCCTTCAACCATTGTGCATTTGGACTAGAGTGCTTGGTATAACTTTATGAAGATATTGGTCAACAAAAGCAGTGATTTAACTTATAACAGTGATAACTTGAACATTGAACAGTAGTAACTTGAACTGGAACTTCTAGTAAATTAATTATACCAACCTATCATTCCATACATATATATGGAATACTGGAAGTTACTGGAAGTTACTGATTCATGCCTTTATAATGTATAATGTCGTTTTATCGTAGAGGTGATGTGAAGGCTTCGTCCTGGCTATCCACCATGTTGGCTCGCATGTCGCTCAGCGTTCGTACAAACTTCTGCCACTCGTCTGTCCGCGGTACTGCAATTTGCTGTGGTTGGAAAAGGGTAAAGATGGTGAAAACATTGAAGAAATTGCCACATGAAAAGTCAGAGTAACAAAACTGGTCTTAGTGAAAAGTAGACTGCATTGACTAATGGCTAGTGACCCTGCCTCTGAATCCTGGCTGTTGTTGTTCACCCAACATGCTCTACTGTTTAGGGTCGCAGTCCTTAGGACCGGACATTAAGCCGTGGTCCTCTCAGTGGGCTTCCTTGTGCTTTTCAAAAAGTGTAAGGGGAATTCCCCCGGTACAATGAACCTGTTAATACTGTACATATATGTAGCATCTGTCTTCTCTGTCATAAGCAGTAAAAGAGTAGCTCTTCAGAGAGCTAAAACTGGATCGAGATCACTTTCAAATTTTTGATGAATCATTGCCAAAAGAATCCCTGAGTTGCACGCACCTCTCCGATGTCGTATATCCAGACTTTTCCGTCGGCGTCGCCGCAGGCCACCTGGTGTCCGGACGAGTGCCAGCGAACACGGTTGATGGCGGGCTGCATGTCAAGGGTCACGCTGGCTGTGGGGACCTGTGGGACAGGTGTTAAAAATGGCAAGTTTAATTCATTCCTATTCTTTGTTTAGATTGTATTTACCACAGGTACCTAAATTGTAAAAAGTCCCAAACAGGTTTTGATACAAACTGGTGTGTAGGAAGTAGAGGCTTAACAGGAAATTTCATGAAAATATTGCCAATACATTTGCAAAGAAAATACATGTATAATATTATCATGTTTAGAGTTTAGCCTAACAAACTACTGCTCTGTTTATTATTACTCAAACACATAAATACATATATATGCTGGCTAAAACTATAAAGCCCTAAGACTCTGTCCTGCCACTTAATACATGATGTATAGCAATACAACAGACTGTCTGCTTTTACCATGGTGACAGCTGTCTGGTAATTGCTCTTATTTGTTTGCAATGGAAGGAGAAAAGTGTTTTGCTTCTGTGAAGGTAAACACATTAATAGGTACACAGTGCCTAAAACACAACAGTGCATTAGCAATAATAGTGGACAACAATAGTGCTTTTCACAACTGAGGGCCGATTTACACGGGGCAATATCTAGAATCATTTGTCCTGCGTCAAACGACTCACAGTGCATGTCATGGGACAGGTTTTTAAGCGTGTAAACAAGTCCGCCACTGCTGCATGGCGCCACGCTGCACATCCAGGGTGCCACCTGTCATTCAACGCAGGACGATTTTTTTCCCTGTGTAAATCGGCCATAGAGAAGAAAAAAGACCCCACCTCTGAATCATTGTTAAGGTTCCAGACGTCCAGTCTGCCCATGCCGTCCCCGGTAGCGAACACGGCCGGGTGGATAGGAGACCAGCGGGCGTCGTACACATAGTCACTGTTGTCTTCAAACGAGTACAGAGGGCGCTGGTGCTGAGGGGACACAAGAGGAACATAAACTTTACTAAGGAATAACTTAGTTGTATGTGTATGTTGACTTAGTTCTCAAACTGTGGCACCCAAATTATCCTTTATTTCCTCAGTAGTCCACTGTATTGTGACATTGTGACGTTGCAATTTCACTAAATAAAATGACATGAAATGGCCACGAGGAGGTACAGCTTTGCCAAAAATTGAAAATAAGATGATCCAACAGACTAGCTATAGTATGATAGGCTCTACACTATGAAACAAAATGGGTGTTCCTTGAGTACATATAGCTGTAACATTCAAGTTTTTCTATCCATATTCCTATCCCATAGACTTAAACCCTAACCCAACCCTAACCATAACCTTACCTTCACGCTCCAGAGTTTGACGGTCCAGTCAAAAGACGAGGTGAGGAAGAGGTGGGAGAAGTCCACCTGCCCTGTGGCAGGGTGGCAGTCGATACTGGTCACCGGTCCCTGGTGGCCCTCAAAGATCTCATTTATACCCGCTTTACTGTTATAGGGAAAATTGTATAACAGGGATTAAACATTGGATTGCTGCGGGTGGCTGAAAATGATGATCATTTATGACTATGAGCACATTACGATGATGATGTGTTCTTTCTTTGAAAACAATGTTTAGTTACACTTATATTGCCACAGCAAAAAATGAAGTCGTAGTATGCACTAAAATAGTATACAAACTGCTAATAGTTATTATCCTGTTCCAAGTTACCATTTCCTTTTACTAGTACATGTATATGTCTTAAGAATGTACAGCATACTGTGGTTATATTGCTTTCTTCAAACATACATGTAACTGGCTAAAAGATTTCTTTGAGGCAAAGTCTGCATCCCCCAGATTTATGAGAAATGTATTGTATTATCATGGAAGTGTTGGTACATATAGTTACATGGAAGTTAGTGACTGGTCAAAAGCTCTAGGTGAAGACCATTCTTTCTGTTGGAGCAAAAGTTTCAACTTGAGACAAATGTATGGCATGTTTGCTGCAGCGCCCCCTGTCCTGACCTGCCATGTCTGCAGCCTGTGTACACAGCCATCTCCTCACTGCCCACCACGAAGTTGTTAACGTCGTTGGGAGGGAAGGACATGCAGGTCACGGCCACAGCTTTGGACTGCTTGTGCTGGAGCTCCATACTCTCCTGTAGGAGGGACAAGCATAGATAACCCATAATGTCAAGATATGAAATGGGGATTTTGTTGTACCAGGTATACAAGGGGACATGAGTATACCTACACAGGGTGTTAGCAGAATATACTGGCCACAGTTTCTGTTGGATATTTCCTTATTTGGTCAACGTTGCATCAGAATTTTACCCATTGCATATCGTTCCTGACACAACATGGGATGTCATCCTTAACACAAACACAGCCTTACAACATATTGAAATGCTATGTATGGACTTTACACAGGTGCAGTGCGTGTGTTGGACTATATTAGCTCTACCGGTAACACCATTCAAACGTAGCCTGACCAAGGGAACAGCTTAAAAAAGTGAATTTCCTCCATTTATATCTACACAGTAATTTTTAGCTGAAAAAAATAAGCACATTCAACTACAATCTAGTCTATATTCCATTCCACCTACAGACTTTACAAGTACTTACTCTGTCATAAGCGGAGGGCTTGGTGAAAATAAAGAGAGAATCTAACTGATACCGGGAGATGGCATGCAACATCATGAATATTATAATAACTCAGAACTTTTCGTTAAAAAAAACAGTACTATCCATTGAGTGGTTTGAAGAGTTTTGAATAAAATTTTATCAACCCTGATATAGTTTCTTTTTTAATAATGCTAGTGTCATTGATTAGCAGAAATCATACATTTTCACACTTAATCAAGATGATATCATCACCACACTAATCTGATATTGTCAGTGTCTTACAAACACTCTAGCCTTCTGCACAGACTAATGGGCAGCAGCGGGTTCTAAGATACAGCTCTCCCATGAGAAGAAACTGCAGCACTCTATCCACACTCCTAGAAACAAACACTGCCCACTATAAAGTCTGCACAGGAGGCTACACACACATACACGATGCGATAACATAATGGGAGAGTCCATTGTAGACACACCTGTGGGTTGGACAGCATGTCCAGACTCCAGGAGCACATCTTGCCGTCGGTGGACACGGTGATCAGGTTGTGAGCGTTCTGGGTCCCCACCACATCCACACAGTACACCGGATGCTGTGAAAAACATACAACGGAGACAAAATCATATCAAGCATGACAGTGAAATTGTATATATCATGCAATTTTGTGTACTTAGATATTTGTGTATGTTAAATGACATACTAGTACTTTAGGTACCCTAGTATACAGCCAAAAAAGTTGCAAAATTAGCAATAGAGTTTCAAATTCAAGCTCTGATCTGAATTCTACTTTATTTTCGGAAGTACACACAATTACTTTTCAATATTTCACTCTCAAAACTGTACCTTGAATAATGCAAGGTACAGAATAATGCATTTTGTAGTTATGTGGTTGTAACATTATCTTAGTTCTAAAGTTTGATACTTACAGTGTGAGCTGCTGCGCTGAGTGGTGTCCGCTGCACCGGCGTGCGTTTGTTACTGCGGTTATCCCACAGCACAATCTGACCCGAGTACGTCCCACCAACCACCAGGTTAGGGTGGAACTTGGCATAGGTGGCAGCCATCACTGCAGACTGCAGAGAAAAAAAGCAACTGTCACAACACATCTAAAATGTAGCTACTATTTTATAGGTAAAACTTTTGTTCCAACACAAAAAGGAAAGTTATGTTGGAACAAAAGTTTTTGGACATTGACTGAACAAAAAAGCAAGATGCTTATTTCATATAAGAAACCCTTTGCTCAGAACTATAAAATTTATAGTTTTGAGGAAAGTGTTTCTTATAAAATAAGCATCTTGCTTTTTTGAACGGCCAAGGGAAACAGGAGTATTATTTTTGTGCTCCCTGAATACAAATACATGTACATACGTTATATTACATGTAACATAGTTTCATATACACTGGAAATACAACATACATTTTTTCTAACAATAGGCAACTTGTAGAAAACTATTTGTGTACTATACCTGACAGTGGAAGATGTACTCTGGTGTGGTCTTTTTGAACTTCATGTTCCAGACCAGACAGACTCCATCAGGCTCGTTGGGTGACTCTTCATTGTTGTTGTAGGAGGCCACCAGCAACTCTGGATACTGGAAAATACAATGCCAAGATATCAGTGCTCATATATACGTATACATGTGGCAAGGTACATGTAGTGTTGTAGTTAGGGTTGTTAACTCAGAATCTGAAAGCTTGATGTTTAAGGACAACCACACAATGAGCATGTTAAAGATGATCCACCCACACTTGTTGAAAAATAGTTGGGGTTCTTCCCGGTGAGAGTAGCTTGTCATTACTCGTCAAAACTGGTGTGTTATGCATTAAGAAAATTTACCGGTTGTGCAACAGGAAACAAAGAAAACAGACTACTGTAAATTCAGAATGAGAGACTTACAAATATAAGTTTGTGATAAATGTTTTATGTTTACAGTGGGCACACAGAGTATATAGAGGCTTACCTGTGCTGACCAGTCCAGGTATGTCACGGTACGGTAGCGGGACCAGCGCTCATCGTTAAACTGTCGCTGGAGGGACATCTTTGCACCAGCTTCAGGACTGCAGCAAGACACAGTTATAGGGTTAATTAGTACCTAATGCCAGAGAACGTAAGAAAGTGGACGCAAGGAACAAACACAAGGAACCCACAGAGGAGAAGGGGACCACCAGGAGTACTGTTGCAGAATCAGCTGTTGAGAGGCTGACTGAAGCTGTAGATTGTCTAGCAAGACAACAAGGGCCCAAGAGAGTGGTTCATGGGAGCATACCTGTAGTTGTATGGGAGCCCAAAGCTCTCAGGGAGGAGGCCCAATGAAGCTAAAAATGTTTGAATATCGGTATTTAAAATGGTGTACTACTTACCCCTCCCTTTCTTCTAAATCCTGTCCGCCGTAGTCGTAGAAGATGTCCATGTCCTCTGCGAGTGCGCGCTCCATGACGCGGGTGGTGTTGTTGATGAAGGTTTGGAACTCGTCTGACAGGACGATCTGCTGTTTCTCCTCTTCTGTCAACTCTCGCGGTCTCTGAGCTGCAGATGGAACACAGATAGTTTTACTTGTTACTCAGTGCAGACAATTTATAGTGAGTAATGATGATGATGATGATGGCTGGTACTTCCTGTTCGAAGTGAGTAATATGACATTCAATATAGATCTTATAAACAAGGCATCTGACTCTGCCAATAATGTACAGCACCATACATATCATACCAGTCCTGATGTATGAGTGGGAAAATAATAGTCATATCACACATGTTTGTGTTCATTTACTAGCAAGGTATATATACTACCTTCTTCTTCTTTCTCCTCCTCCTCCTTCTTGTCTGGAGGTGGTTCTACTACCTCTGGGGGTGGCTCGATTTCCTCTTCGGACTCTGCAAGAAAATAAAGAAAGAAAGATGTCATCATTATGACTTTTTCAACAGGAACATAAGACTGAAACACATTTCTTTTTTTTTTAATTTCTATGTTTAACTTACCAGTTAGATCACTAACAACCCTTACCAACTTGCAGTGATATTGCAATACACTTTGTTTGTTATGTTTCGCATGAGACCTTATTGAAAACTAACAGTGTATAATATATTTTGATCATGCTGTTTGCCATAGTTGAAAAGGGAGAAGATGTTTTTAACTATCATTGTAGGCAAGACATTTTGTGACATAAAAATGTACCTAAATGCCCTTTTTCACTCATGGGGCACTACAATGAGAACATTTTCTTGATGAGTGAATGACAGATAGCCTACCTTCTTTTTCCTGCACCTCCACGATAGTCTGTGTCTCCTTGCTGTAGGCGACCTTCTCTCGAGGCGGGATGTTGATGACAGAGGTGTCCGTCAGGCTCAGCTTTTCTCGCATAGATTTTCTCGCGCTACACAGAACATCACACAAGCCTGTCAGATAACTACAGACAGTGTAACATGTCTCAGCTAAGTAAGCATCTTTCATTCTAACCACAAGATACAACTGTACTGGCTTCTTTACATGTAAGGGTGAATATGCTGAGCTACTTTCAAACATACATGTATAATATATATATAATATAATAGGGTACATTCTGGACAGGGGTACAATCCAGCCTGCTACACAGGGACACCTACAGTGTTGGTAGTGGCCGATCGTCGGCGCTCGCTGGTGCTTTCTTCTGTGTTACACCTGGGGGTTCAGCAGCAACCATGGAGGGGACAGCAGCTGGGTAGAAACAAAAGCAACAAAATACATTCATGTACTAACTCATCTTTTCTCATATATTGTGATGAGACATGAGCAGATCTTATACCATCTACATGTAGCATATCAAGACTACAGTATTGTATGATACTAGACATGTACATGTCTCTGTATAGTTGGTGTAACCCCTCTTCGAAACAGATTTCCACATTGTTGTCCTTGAGCACATACCTTGAGCTCTCTTCTGTTCTTCAATACCGATGTCCTTCAACAGTTGCTCTGTTTCGATCCGCTTCCGTTCGATTTCTGAAGGGTCTGGTCCTTTCTTGCTTGCCTTGGCAGCTTCTTCTGCCTGCAGGTTAGAAAGTACATTTTCCAGGAATCAAATACATGTACATGTACTGTAAATCTGTAAACTTTTTGCAGTGGTTTTACTTTTGCAATTTCCATTATATCACCACAGTACTAGTACTACTACAGAATTGTTTTAACCACAAATTTCAAACACTGTGAAAACCTCTGGATCCTTTTCCCTACATGTAACGTTAATTAGCCAACCGTCACCTGTTTTTTGCATACAACCGTGACAAGGCCATAGGTCATATTGGTAAAAGGTTATTTTTCTATGTGTGTTATAATTACTACATGTACATGTATACACATCATCAGTCTAATGATTTATTGATGTGGAGTCCTTTAACTATATTACTAGCTAGTAGATGAAGGATAGCAGTAATGAATAAATTAGATTACATATTTCTACCCAGTAGAAACTGCCATCATTTCAGGTTACTCAACGTTTTCTTGTTACTGTGTTTTAGATGTCAGATCTAAATAAAAGTCTTAAAAGTTTGGTATTTTTAAATGTTGTCTTACGTCTCGTCGTTTTCGCTCCTCCTCCTTCCTCTTCTTCTCCTCTCGGATTTGCGCCAGCCGCGCCTTCTTCCGCTCTAGTTCTGCCTTACGGTCCGCCATTCTGAAAAACAAAGTTAAATCTATGTTGCAATGTCTAACAACTCTAAACGTGTACAGTTCTTCCCCTCTCCCTCCTTCTCTATGACATTTCTGAGAAAGTTCAATCCTGTATTTTAGGGAGTAAATCTGTCAAAAATACTAGCATCAAATTCTAATTTTTTGTTAAACTGGTATGAAAACAGAAAAAGGATGCAACACTACATGTAAAGTGTGACTAATATAAGATGCTGAAAGATCAAGAAATGTTGGTATTTGCAATATCTCATCTCGATCAGTAAAGTCAGTTGTCAAAATTCATCCAGAGTTACATGTACATGTATGTTACCAGTACTACTACTGTACATTCGCGTCTTCCAGTTTAGAGTGCAATATGGTTCCATATAAGTACCGTAGTTGCCAAAGGGGGTCAAGAAGTCTTCAGATTGTTAGCTGTCAATTTTAAGATGAACGGTGATGTCATAGTTTTCCCAGAGCGCCCCCCCCATATGAGGGCGTATACTTTTTTCCAACACTACATGGAAAAGAAATAGATTTTTCGACAAATAACAGATACATAGGATGTGCTTCTACTTACTTGTACCTATGACAGTTGCCAAGTGTTCTTGTCAAGGACCGTTGGTGAGAAAAAAGGCACCGAAATTTCTTCCTACTTGTCAGACCGGAATCAAGATGGCGGAAGCTTTGGACTCTTTTACTTCATAGATAGGGGTGAACACTAACCTTTACAAATCTTTCTAATCTTTGTTATCTGCACAGGTAATTAGAAAAGTAGTAGTTAAATATAAAATGAAAATATTTTATAGACTTAATTTATTGCTAAGATTTTTTTGTGAACTGTCATTGTATTTTCGTAGAAAAGAAGATGAACTTACCTATATATGACATTGGACTATTCTAAGTATGACCTCTGAACCCCAGCAGGTTGCGTAAAAAGAGCACTGTACTTCGCAGCCGTACTTCACAGTCCTCTCCGCGCTTTTACGTCCTTGTAGTTGGTTCATTCTTCTCAGAGATCAGATCCACAGCTCACCATGTCATCAGTCCGCCATGTGCGCGAGGTTCGAACCCTGTACCGGCAGATCCTCCGCCTCCACCGCCGCCTCCCTGCACACTTCCGGGCCATCGGGGATCAGTACGCCAAGGACGAGTTTCACAGACACAAGAAAGCTGGAGAAGCTGAAGTCCAAACGTTCATGACAGAATGGAAGGTTTGTTCGTCTGTCTGTCTGATCGTTTGTTTATTTGTTTGTTTTTGTTTGTTTGACCCTATATCTGTAAATTGCTTGGTTCGCGGAAAAGGCTGGGTAGCCTGCAGGCTAGCCTGGCAGGCTTTTGGGTTTACGGAAAAGGTGGGTACGTAGGGCCACTTTTCAGTGGGGTCATGAGGAAAGAGGTGAGGGTTTGACAAAATATAACGAAGGTACTGTACACCACTGCTATCTCTAGTCTTTGATGAGTTTGTGATGTTAGACTAGAGTTTAGACAGGGATCCATACATCTATTACAAGCACTACCTCCCTTCCCAAAGATGTCATAATAAAAAAAAATTATTGATGATATATTATCTTTCCTAATTACACTGTTACTGAGCTGTCTTATGTTTCTTTCCAGAACTATGCAAAGATGTTACAGGAACAGTTAGCCCAGGAGTCGTTCCCGGTTGGTCAGACTCTCTCCCCAGACAAGATAGAGAACTTCTCAGAAGAGCAGCTGGGACAATTGTTTGAGCTTCAACAGGAGGCCACCAAACCAATATCAGGGGAACTGCAGGATCTTATAGAAGATGACAAGAAGAGATAGCCAATGAACATCATAGTGTACCAAAACTAGACATCTTAAGTTAAAATGTAACGTTAATGTTGTTAATAAAAGTGTGTTCATATATGTTATCACAACTGCATGATCCTTCTGTGTGTGTACTACTTGTAGGTCTGAAGAGAGATTCCCCAGTCAAAGTGGACAAGCGGACATAAGGAACGGAAGGGAAATCAGCACCAGGGACAGCCATGTCTGCATGGTTTTAATATGTTCTGTTAGATTATGTTACATTGATGTAATAACCTTAACAATTATTCCAGTTTACCATTCATGTCCCTATAGAAGACCAGATAGGAGTACATGTACATGATGATGTAGCCTGGGTTCTGACATGGGTTGTGTGGGTCATTAACAGTCATCACATGTCCCTATAGAAGACCAGATAGGAGTACATGATGATGTTGTAGTAGTATAGCCTGGGTTCTGTTGTGGGTTGTATGGGTCATCACATGTCTCTATAGAAGACCAGATAGGAGTACATGATGATGTAGTAGTATAGCCTGGGTTATGATGTGGGTTGTATGGGTCATCACATGTCCCTATAGAAGACCAGATAGGAGTACATGATGATGTAGCCTGGGTTCTGCTGTGGGTCGGGGTCGCCGCCGTTGTACCAGCCGTAGTACCGGACGGTGTTGGGTTTGGTGAAGGACACCTGACTTGTCACGTCCACCACCCAGGGGTTGATCTAGATGGTATACAGAGAGGGATAAAATCAATATACAGGTACATTGATTTAAATGTGTTCTGTTCAATTTCATAAACCAACACACGTTTATGTTTCCAAATCGATGCCCCGCCAGATAGACCGTTCAAATTTCCCTGCGTGTAAATCGGCCTGTTTTGGCGTACGTCAAGAACGTAGGTTCAGGTCGCTCGCTACCCCGAAGGCTGTCTTACGATAAGAACGTAGATCGCATATACACTGAAACCCTTTGAAATTTGACTGAGGCGTTATAGTAATGAAGGTTAGCCGACCTCCTGGCCGTCGCACCAGCCGTCCCGTCCGTACAGCCACGTGCCGTGTTCGTTAGGCGTCACGCCCTCAGGTACACGGTCTGCACAGCCAAGGGGAGTTCCTATGGTTTAAGGAACAAAAACTTTTAGAGGCACCCAAACCAATTTCAGCTCGGCAAAACAAAAGTTTGGGTGAAGAAATCTTTTACTGCCATTTCGTATATTTTAACACGTTTTCGTCATCAGTTCATACTTAAACGTTTGAAATAGTCTCCAAATAAGCAGTCTCTATACGATTACCAACGGTCTAAATGAAGGCGGTGTTCTCTTTATCGTAAGAAGCTTATAAACATAGAAAACAGAGCCTACAACATGACATATTTAAAAGATAAGAAGATTCTTTCTTAGTACCGGCTATTTTGAAGACCCTGACGTTGGTGTGATTGTTGACGACGAAGTGATGTGACGTCACACAGAACTCCCCACACCCGTTTTCGTCACTTCCGTGTCCGGTGATGACTGACACAACCTTCACCTGTCAGACATGACGATGCACCTGCTCTTTATACGGTTATTAGGATTGCCAGTTTATTTTATACTTGGAGTAAAAACTTGCTGAATTCTCATTATACATTTTCTAGAAAGAAAGAATTAATAAAGTACACAGTTCTTGAAAGTAAGCGCGCCCATGGTATGATGGCGTATGGCAAGGAGTTTTAAATATAGTAGAATATCACCCATTTAAAGGAAGACAATTTTAAAGCATTCCAATCCCAGAAAATTGTCTGTTTCGCCAGCGTTCAAAAAAGACGCAAAAAGATTAAGGACCTACCCCCCCCCCCCCCACTCAGTGAAAAAAACAGAGCCATATGGGAATTGGCGAAATTTTGAAAAGAACATTTTTTTTTTTGCTACCAGATGTTTTAAAGATTTACCTGCGTGGCTCCCTTAGGCACGACGAACTGTTTAGGCTTGTACTGTGTGTTGTACGTCTTGTTAAACGTACCTCCGCGGAACAGGGGGATGATGGAGTACGGCTGTGTGTTGGCGATGTTGTGACCTATAATAAAGAAAACATACTTTGATTATGTAAAAAAAACACTAAATGTTAAACATAAAAGTCATTGTGCCAGCAATCTATCAATGTGTAGTGATAACCTTTGTGTATTGTTAAGATAAGAGCTTGAATTCATGTGTCCTTGCATACTGCAAATTATATAGGATCAATCAATCAATATATACATCAATATTTCAATACATTAATGAATATAGCGATCAATACATGTATCAACATGTATAAACGCACTTAAGGGACAGTCCTAAAAGTAACTTACAAAACAAAAGGGACAGAAACATGTAAAAATAGAAGGATAAAACATACCATGAAGTAAAAGGAGCAATCATGAAAAAAATTTACCACATAAAAAATATATCTGGAGATGCGGGGTATCGATCCCCGTACCTCTCGCATGCTAAGCGAGCGCTCTACCATCTGAGCTACATCCCCTTGTCTGGCCTGGCGGACGAAAATAAGCCAGTCATTCCAGTTGGTCCGCCATGTTGTTTGATTACAGCCATTGATGTTGACATACGATCCTCTATTTACCCAAGGTCTTATTACGCAGCACGCTGTTGTTTGATATAGATATCTGAGTCGGGGTGATTCCATTCGTAAGGAATGTAAGGGGGGGGGGGGCACAAAGGGTATTTGGTTAATGATTATTGATTTTTAATAAATGTTTAACATGATAGGCTTGCTGCTGCATATACAAACAGTAAAAGGGGTCTAGTGAAACGGGTAGAGACATATTGATATACTCTAGTATAACACTTCTGTTGCGAAGCAGGTTCATACAATTAAAGAGCTTACCTCCCCAAAAGCGATATCGCGAAAAAAGAACACTTTTAAAGGAACCAGAAAACATCGCCAGTCACTGGAAATGCGGGTAAAATAAATGACAAAAACCGCTTGAAAAAGATGCACAAACTGACCAAAAAATTTTCCTGGAGATGCGGGGTATCGATCCCCGTACCTCTCGCATGCTAAGCGAGCGCTCTACCATCTGAGCTACATCCCCTTGTCTGTATTCCACCCTGAGAATACGCCAGTCATTCTACTTTGCACTGAGCAAAATTCTTTAGTATCTTTTCTTTGTCATCCTTTCTTTCAGCTGTAAAAATCAATTTTTTATGACTTTTTAGTTTATAATATTCAAAATATGTCTGTTTTTTTTTTAATTACAGAATTTTTGTCCGCCCACTCGGGTTTCAGCTTTCTGACCCAACTTCCCTATGATCACGTGGTCGCAAGGGGCAAAGTTCATGGGAAGCTGATACCGTCCCCCGTGCGATCCGAACGTCTCACCTTGTTTTCCCATGAGCCCACTGAAGCGCAGGTTGAGACTGGGAACCCACGGCATGGCCCACGGGACGGTCTTCATGGTGAAGGTGCAGACGTTAGACGTGAAGAGCGGCAGGAGAGGGGTGATCGGGGTTAGCCATCTCCCAACACGCCTGGCAATAAAAACGATCCATGGACAATATGGTATGAATAATAATGATGCATGTATAAACATTATTGCACAACAACTGTACAACGAGCAAGATATAACAAACATACAATGAGACATATCTACTATACAAAAATACATTTGTTCACAGTGGTATGGAATGAGAAAGAGTTTCTCCAATCAAAGGCCGAATTTCTAGCCTTTAGGCAAATATTGCAACATATCAATACGTATGGTGGCGTATTGCACCCTCTGGCCAATGGATACTGCCTGGCCAATTTGATACTGTCTTTTGCCACCCTTAGGATCTGCTTGAAGATTACGATTTCTTGTTTTTTTTTTCCTACTGAGGTACATGTACTTGTCAGACCTTCTGAATGAGGTGATCCACCTCCCCAGCTCCATACCGCATAGCGGGTGTCCCTGGTCACAGCACACGTACAGCTGCACGGTGTGGTCCCAGTGTGGGCACGAGTCGTCTCTCGTTCCCGGGCACGACAGAGACATGTCCAGCTCGACGTTAGAGTACTCCAACATTTCTGACCAACAAAAAAAATCGAGCAGTGTATCGTTGATTGTTTGTGTGCTAAAACGGTGGTGCCTACTGCTTATTCGATCCGTTTTTGGTTGTTTTTTTGCTAAATTGTAGGTTGCGAATCCCCCGATCCATCTGTTTTTGGGGTAAATTTTACTGGTTTCAAACGAGACTACGAGATACCATGCAAGAGAAAATTTGTCAAAAAGTTGGTCAAATTTATACGAAGTTAAGATGCGGTAAAGTACTTTCATATGCAGTTATATCAGTGTAGTCTGTTAACGCTTGGACAAGAGGCTCACATACAGTTTTGGACACAAACCTTTAACTGACGGCAGCTTGACGGTGGCCACCACGCCCTTCTCCCCCTGCATCACCGTGCGGTTAAACACGTTGATGACCTTCGCCTCACTTGACAGGTTGTGGTACAGGTCCGTCTTGTAGTTAAACCTTAAAGAAACGTACTAGTAGTTAAAGAAAGCGTTAATCTCACTGTGTGTATTTGTACGGTGTACCGTATGATATGATTTGAACGGGAATGGTTTGTATCATAGAACGAGAAAAACGCCAGTCTGAACATAGCAGTTCTAGTTCTTTCACAGTGCATGTGACCATTGATGTTTTGTACCTACATGTACATCATAGAGCAATATAGAATTGTGGCCAGACCATCGCAGATTCCAGGCTAATGACTTTAGCCTCGAAATAGGTCATGGCGCTAGTCCGATCCATTTTGTGCAAATTTAGTACACACATGAACATTGCTTAACCCCACGAGCCATGCGTTTTGAGGCTATGTCAAGAAATGCGGGATAGAGAAAAACAGGCAGAAATCGTTTGAAAAAGATGGATAAACGGAGTAAAAATTAACTGGAGATGCGGGGTATCGATCCCCGTACCTCTCGCATGCTAAGCGAGCGCTCTACCATCTGAGCTACATCCCCTTGTCTGCATTCGGTTTTGAAAATACATCAGTTATTCCAGTGGTATCCCTGAGCAAACTTCATTTTCATTTTTACGTACCATTGAGCCTGCCATGTGAAGAAGAGGAAGGACGGGTAAAGGAGCCAGCCGATCTCCGCAAGCTTGCCCTGCGCGTCGACGGCGAAGTAAAAGTTGTCCGACGGGGTCGTCTGAAACGTCACGTTGACGGCGCCGTCTCTGTGGCAACAAAAAAATATAATTTTTTTTTCAACGGGTTTAGCTAGGTGCTAAGCCACAAGGGCAACTTCTGGGCACTGAAGTAACGCTCACTACTGTAGCATCTCTTCTCCCTAAGTCAGAAACATTTCAGCTTACGGGAAGTATGTTGGGTTTTTGTGACCTTCAAGTTCACCCCCATTTCATGTTCATGGCCTTCTGACCTCCCAAAAACAGACACACAATCCCACAGCTCCAACGCCCAAAACAATACTTCCATACCTAGAATTAATGATGATGTGATCCATATCTTACTTGAGGGCGTCCTGTATGTTGACATCCCAGTGCACCATGGTTGCCCGGATACGGAGGGGGGTGCCGCACTCCTCCCCCTCACAGTTCATGTCCTGCAGGGGGGTCCCAGGCGGGGCGTACACTATCACACCCAGCGCCTTGGAGTTCTCCATGTTACGGACCTACAGAAGTATAGAATCGTGCAAGGTTATTTCCAAACTACTATAACAACAACAACTACTACTACTACTACTACTACTACTACTACTACTCATATTACTACTACTACTACTACTACCACTACTACTACCACTACTACTGCTGCTACTACTGCTACTACTACTATTACTACTAGTAGTAGTAGTAGTACTACTACTACTACTATTACTACTACTACTACTACTATACTACTACTACTACTACTACAATCCAGCACATACTGCATTCTTTTGTATGTGCTGGATTTTTACATTTTGACCAGTTTATTTGTTTATTGTGGTTGTGTTCACCTTGGTAAAGAAAGAACAATTGCCTGCAGCAGACACCCAGGCGATGGAGTTCTCCACTGCAGGTGCGCCTGCGCAACCGTCACCTCCATCTGCCAGTCTCGTGGAGGCCCCTGGGAAGGCTCCCATCAGCCAATCATAGCGCGCGTCCAGTCGTTTGAGGATGAGGGGCAGTGGAGACACTGTGAGGACAAAATAGTGGACACTAGACAATTAATGGCGAGACATCATGATGATAGTTGGAGGGGAGGGGGAAAAACTTTTGCAACGGCACTACCATACTGGTTCATTCACTTAGAAAATATTACTAGAAATCAAAATGATGATCAATATTCCATTTGCTTTACGAAGGGGTGTTTGGGATGCGATCCAGATCCTCAGACAATGCAGTACATTGAACAGATATTGAACAGCTACTGGGGGCGTCACTACTTAAGTCCGTATATGACTGTCTCTTGCAATGTAATAATGAACAGAGAACGGGCAGGTTGATAAAGAGCTGTCGAGACAGAGTGCGTCTCGAAAGCTCCCCAGTGTTGCAAACCATTGTTGTTGTCTGTACGATTTAAAGTAATTTGTCAAAAGCAATTGATGCTGATGCAGATTACTAACCTGATGAGATGAACAGGACCTGGGGAAGGCCACATCCGTGGTCCTCACAGCTCCATCGGTTCATCAGCGCAGGCATCCAATTACCCAGCTGGTGCACCGGCGTCACCACGTAGTGCAGGCGGGACAGGAGGGCCTTCTTCTCTCCATCAGGCCTGGGGGGAAAAGGAGTTGAAAGATTTAGATCTCGCTAAGCGCACCATTTAGAGATGATAAAAGTAAAGATAAAAGATGTTGACATCGGAAAAAAAACTTATTGGAGATGCGGGGTATCGATCCCCGTACCTCTCGCATGCTAAGCGAGCGCTCTACCATCTGAGCTACATCCCCTGCTCATGCCCCAGCGCTCAGGCCCTAGGTGTTACGCTTAGTCCCACTTTTGATTTGTAGGATTATGTTCTTCACAGAACACTTTGTCAAATGTCTCTTTTTTACCTCCATGCCTTAACACAGAGCACAAATTGTTTCCAATCATACATTGCAGTCCTCAACTCCAGTAAATTGAAAGTTGCTTTTATCTATTCTTGCGTAAACAAAATCCGAGCGAGACCCTTTCGAACGCATAAAAGGTTAAAAGCGGAAAACAAAAAGGAAGACGAAGGCAAGTCAGGCGGTAAAATAAAAGAAGATACATGTATCTTTTTCATAACGTCCCTACCTGGAGCTGAGCTGCGCGGCTGCCTCCATGAGCCCCTTCATCCAGCGGGCGTCTCTGTACGCGTTCTCGGACCTGGTCATGAAGACGTAGTGCGTGTTGTTGGGCGTCCTGTCGATCAGAGACACCCGGGAGGAGTTGGACGTCCACAGGCACTCCAGGAACCCCGAGTGGCTGTTGTAGCCGTGGAAGATGACGGGGCTACCTTTAAAGGCATCCAATGCAGTTTTTAGGGCTTGAAAACCCGATTTTTTTAAAGTCAATATTCTAGTCTTTTATCTACATACTGAGTTGAAACCAATATTGACTCCCATAAAGCAAAAATGCCCAAAATTGTGACGGCAACTGGTTAGTGGAAGGGTCCTGGGCTCCACTCAGAAAATAAAGGACTCATCTTGGGGCTTTACCTTTAAGATCGGCGTCGGTGAGGATGCCGTCCAGAGTCCAGAGGCTGAACGGGGGTGCCGGGCGGGCCGGCTCCAGGTCTGCCGCCGTCCATGTCGCCCCTGCCTGCTGACGACCTTTGGTCGGTAGCACGTCGTTCGAATCATCGGGGCCACTCGCTTCTTCTAGCCATATTCTTCCTCCTCTTGTGTTGTCTTCCAGGTCGTTCGACAGCAAGACTTTGGTTCTTACGTTCTCGTGGCCGAACGCCTGGGAACTGGTGAGGACCAGAATGGCCAGAACAACAGACGCTGCCGTTGCCATCATTGTGAACTAGCTTGTGTAACACGTACACTGCCGCACGACTGCGGCCAAAGATTGGAGTAGCCAGTATAATAACAACGTAGCTCAATCCACTTAAACTTTGCTCCCGATGATAAACAAAAAACATTGTCATTGTTCTGGGTGTCATACGTGCAGATATATGTAAAGTTCTTTGCATTGTAAAGGCCATAGACCGTGTAACCGAGTGCTTGAAAGCCCCGGGTTAGCATTTACGCCAGAAAAAATATGCGAAATCATAAGCAAAACAAGTACAAAACATACTGGTATGTTTGCCACGATGAACGTAAATGCCCCCTACGCCTGCTATTGAAGATTCAGATGCCAAAACGAAAAGAAATTTGATCGATCGTATTTCAGCACCCGCAGCTGTTGCCGTCTGTTAAATTTAGCTAAGAGTTTTGCTTTTCGCTCGCTTGCGTGAGACAAGGGGATGTAGCTCAGATGGTAGAGCGCTCGCTTAGCATGCGAGAGGTACGGGGATCGATACCCTGCATCTCCAAAAATATTTTTAGTCTTTTTTACAGTGTTACTTTTGGAGGCAGCCTTTTTTCTCGTAATTGTTCTTTATTATTATACCAACATTGCAGACATGCATATAATGTTGCCTGAATGACATTGATATTTACAATCATTATATTAAAATAGATACATAACATTACATTGCATTACATGCATATATACATAAATATATACATACTTCTGATATAAAGTGTACATCCCAGGCATAGCAAGTACCATACTGATTATACAGTCTGATTGTAGTGTCTGATGGACTGATATAAACAGCTCTGAAGTCTTTTTGTTCAGCAGCAGGTTTGTAATTCCTCTCCAATTCACGGCTAGTTTGACATCATCGCTACTTGATTGTTCACAAACAGTCGTGCTACTCCGCGACGGACCTCCTTCAGACGGAACCCATAGATAACTGGGTTGACTGCAGAGTTTAAGGTGATGAAGAAGATCATACTGTACACGGACGCCATGTCAGTAGACATCTGGGCCACTTTGATGAAAAACGGCATCCATCCTACAAGAAACATGACGGTGATGATGACGATTGTGATGGCAGATTTCCTGTTGACGCTCGGCTGGGCTCCCACCGCGGCTTCTTGTGCAGCGATGGCGTTCACGTGCTTCCACAGACACCAGAAGATGAGCAGGTTGAAGAGAAAGATTGCCGCCATCGGGATGAAAACGAACACGAGGACAACAATCACGTAGTTTCGGGACAACCCCGCGCCTAGCGGGACACACTCTTCGTCAAAACGTCCCGTACACTTGGAGTCAAAGTGGGGCAGTATGGCTATCAGCAGTGACCAAGTCCACACGGCAACAATGACGACCTTGCACTTGTCGTTGGTGACGTTGTTGACATAACTCATCCCGTGGACGATGAACCAGTAGCGCTCAGCCGTCAGTGCCACCAGGCTGTAGGCCGAGGACAGTCCGGAGAGTAGGATCGACGAGAGGCGAAGGTTGAGCAGGAAATTAGAGGGGGCTATCCCGGTTAGAGCGACGTACATCAGCGAGATGGTTCCAGTCATGAAGACTATACCGGCTAACACGTCTCCTGCTGCTAGGTTAGCCATGAGGATGTAGACTGGCTTGTGGAGCTGTTCGTGCTTGATGATGGCGGCTAGCGGGAGGATGTTCGCCACGACAGACCAGACGGCGAGGACGAAAGTAGCGCCAATCATGACCAGACGATCGGTGGAGACGAACTCTTGAAGGGAGATGGAATATGGGTTCTGCTCCCACGGACATTCGTCGACGCTGTCAGTGAGATTTTCTCTTAAACCAGAGCTGTTATCGGCCACAAAAGTACAGTTTGCGGACAAATTCTTTCGGAAGCGCAGTGTAGAATTGGTTTGTTTGTCACTGACCTGGTTTGTAACGTTCAAGTCCGACCCAGAAGCCGAACTTATTCCAAAACGGCGACTTGTAATGTGGAGAAACACCAGCACTACGCTAACGTAGCTGCTTCGGTACACCATCATCCCGTCGTGAGTGACAATCTCTCTGAAAGAATACACGATGGGTGCCTTATAAACGACATTTTCTCATTAAGTCATCCTTTTTAACTTCCCTTTATTAAAGATCTGGAGATGCAATCTGATATCTTGCAGAGACCAGATGATCCGGGAGCAGGTGTTTCTTGTTCCTCGTCCTTCTAATTACGTAGTGTGGGGAAAATGAAGCGCTGGTGCCATACACCCAGGTGGATGCAATCTTACTAGTCATTTTTGTTTGAAGAACGCCTTTGAATTTCGATTTAGTATGTTGTTTGCAAACATGTATTCCGATTTTTTTAGTTTAAAGGGAAGCAAAATGTCAAACACGTGCACATGTGGTAAAAAGAGTTGGTTCTTTAATATTCTATGGAAAGCATTTCACAGACATTAAATTGAACGACAAGCAAATAATTGCAAGTTGACAAACAATTAGAATCAATCGCACCAACTTACCTCCAAATGCTTGAACTTTGGAGGTGAACGGTTGTATTCCATGGCCATAGAGAGAATGTTTGAGGCAATTAAGCTTGTAAACAAGGGAACAAATGTGTAGAAATGAGGCCTATTTAGAGTACTATTGTTTACCATAGCCTTGTCTGCATGAATATGTTATTGCCTGTAATTACCATGGTTGCTATGTTACTGCCTATACTGGGTATTGTCTACACGTGCGCGATATTGTAATGTGAACTGGAAATGCAACATTTGCGAGCAAGCGTGGGGAATTTAACTTCCACCCCTTCTCATGCACTAATGGACTGTTCCAAAATTACCCCTGCAAGAATGGACTCTTCCTTTAGTAGTCTCCCGTGCAAGAATAGGCCGTGTTCCATACCTGACTGCTGTGTGAAACCAAGGAGGTTTTAAACCCTCTAAATTCTCTTGATGAAACTATCCCAATACCATTGTGCCATTGCGAGTATCCAAAAATGGGGCTAAGTTTAACCCCCAGGCCAGACAAGGGGATGTAGCTCAGATGGTAGAGCGCTCGCTTAGCATGCGAGAGGTACGGGGATCGATACCCCGCATCTCCAGTAAATTTTTTTTCATATCTTAATTCTAGCTAATTTTCCAGGAAAAAACACGAAACTTCCATGAAGACAAAAATAGCCTCTTGAACTAAATATTTTTTCCCCGTGCCGTGATTTGAATGTCTGTAAAAATGAGATTTACGCTGGGATGTTGTCCTTGCGTTAACCAATCACGAAATAAGGTCTACCTCTGCATCTGGGTTGATTATTCGCATCGTAATGCTGGCGCGCGCGCAATCGATGGTACATCAGGCATAGCAATACGCTGTAGACAATCTAATATGAACTAAATTTATATTGAAAATGTTCCGACACGTAACAACGTGGCCTTCCTCAACCAAAAATGTTCCGACACGTAACAACGTGGCCTTCCTCAACCAAACATACTCCAACAGCAGTTTTTCTTATCTTACGCCAGCCTCTTCGGATGCATAACTTTTTATCAAGGAACAGTTTGATTTGATTGCCAATATATTTTTTATATATTGGTGGGAGTCTTTCTGTTACAGAATCGTTTACTTCCGAATTATGCCAGGGACGTCATAAATGTCGACGTCCTACTTTTTTATCAATTTATGTAACAGACACGTGTACCTTCACGCTTATTTGTTAAACATTTGTCTGCGTTAAAAAACATTTTTATTAAAGAACTGTGCTGTTTTGGAGCAGGGTTGGCAGTTCTTGCTACGCTAGTCCCTCCGTCAACATCCAGATTTTCGAGCGGAAACGTGAGGTACGACTTTTTTGTTATCCCACCAGCGATCTATAGAAACATCCAGCGTCGACGGTAATTCGCTATCGTAACAGACAGCGACATATTGGTGCTAAATAATCAAATTTTGTGTTTCCCGACGGTTGTGGCCAGAATCGGGCTTGGATTCGGCTTCTTGCTTCGCGGGATCTCAGCATAAAAACAGCATTTCACGTCCAACAGTCAACAGTTAACTCTCTGGAACATCGAGATCCGCTACAGCAGGCAAACAGACTTATCTTTTACTGCCGGTGTCGTCTAGGCAGACCGTCCTTTTCTTCTGGGGGATACTACGCCTAAGTGTACGCGTTCATAACATATAATATCAACAAACATCCAAAGCATATCTGTACCTATTTGAAAAGGGTAAACAGAGGTGAGAAGCCAGTCAACGTTGACGAAGCAACAGAAAAAAATATAAACATTTCAAGCGGGTGAAGAAGACATTTTTTGGTCCAAGTAAGATTCATCTTCAAAATGAAAGCAAGTGTTCAGCACATGTTTGTCGCTCTGATCGTCCTTGTCGTTTTAAAGGCACCTGGCCTGTCCGCAGATCAAACCTGCTTTCCAACATGCGAAAGGAAAATGTTAGCTAGTTGTATACCCAACGCCCTACGGCTTGACTACATTGCTAGCGCTAGAAGTGAGACTACGTGCATTTTATGTCCCGAAGGTTGCAAAAATGCGTATGAAATTGCGGATAGGCCACCTGATATTACATGTTTCCCCGGCATGCAATGGCTCAGTATAAGGGGTTTTCACTACGGGATTTTGTCGTCCCAAAAACTAGCAGCTATCGACTCCTCTTCACTTACAAGTCTGTTTCTAATTGAGGCAGGGATAACTGAGATCGACAACTTCACGTTCGAAGGGTTTTATAAGTTACGAAATTTGCACTTAGACTATAGCATGTTAACGCACATTCCTGAAAACTGGCACAGCGATGCAAGTTCTCCAACTAACACATACTATCTCGACAAGCTCTCATTTTCTTACAATAACATCTCAGACATAGACTCTGGGTGTTTTAAGAATCTCAAATCCCTTACCCAGTTAGACTTAAGAAGTAACGTGTTGAGAGAGTTAGATGAAGAGTGGTTCGTCGAACTGAAGTTGCTAACAACACTTCATCTTGGCGGAAACAGAATCAAAACAATTCCGCCGAATGTCTTTGAATCCCTGAGGGAACTACAGTTTCTGGATTTCAGTCAGAACGACTTAGTGTGTCTGAACAGTCAACAGTTCTTGACTCTAAAAAACCTGCTCAGATTGGTACTAGGTGGGGATAGCCTTGTATATTCCAGAGCAGACGGCTTGCACGACATACCTTGGAGCATTGTGCTTGAAAACTGTGGTTTGCAAGACTTAAAGAAGCAGTGGATACGGTTCGAAGCTCTTGGCCTGGTCTTACATATCAACTACGAGGATACTGACAATAGCTTCACTATAGACTGGTTTAGCACTTTGGGCAGAAACCGTAAAGTCCCGATCTATTTAGACTCATGTAACCGACTGTCTGAAGAGCTTCGGTTGGGCCATTTAGCGTCTTATGCACCTTTTGTCGTTGTAGTAATGAACAAGAAAGAAGATGATAAACAGGTTTTATCAAAGCAATGTTTAGATTCTTGGGAAGGCTCAGGTGGGGTAACGTTAGCGCTGAAAGGTCAGTCAAGCTTGCGATTTTCCCGTGTAGGAACAAGTGACAAACTAGGGCACTCAACTGTGAACGATTTTAGCACTGTAGCAACTGCTACGAATTATACAACAGTTGGCTCTCAAGGCACATATGATAGGGGAACCTCCACATTACGTGTTGCATGTTTTGCCCTTTTTCATGGCGAGAAATATGCTTCATTCTTTATTAACGTGTCCACAGTAAAACAAAGAAAAGATGACATCATTAGTTCAAGCGAAGGTCTTACAAGCGGTATTCCATCCATTGTATCTGACAATGTGTTTACCCAAACGATGGCAACATATGAAACAAAAACGCCGTACAATACTCTGGAGTCAACATACAGTGTACCTCTAGTTTCTCAGAGACTACCACCTGATGATGAGGCTACGGATTTACTGATTCCTATGATAGTAAGCTTTACTGTTGTAACAGTCATTGTTTTATGCGTTGTTGCTTTGTGTTACTACCACAAGAGCATTGGTGAAAGAAACAATCATCAAAATCAGGACAGCAATGCGTCCAATGGAGCAAACCTGCAGCCATATACGACAACTTGTCTCACAGATATTGACCAGATTGGTAGAAATAGCCGCGAAGACAACACGCAAAACACGTCTCCTTTTAGGGATGATATCATTGGGCTTTTGCAAAGGAATCCAATGTATCACGGCCATACATCAAATTTGAACAACTATCACCAAACTGACGAAGATGAAGTGTACGTCCCAGAAGGACATGATTACTGTGACATCTCAGACGATGATGGTAGCCAAGAAAACGACGAGGTGTTTAACCAATGGTTTAACCCCTCTGGTGTCAATGATTGTCATGACATAACAGAAGAAGACAGCGAGAACTCTGAATCTGAACAGGTCTCACAAAACGCTGACACTGACGAAGAGATCGACGATGCTGTGACTTTCTATGCTGCAGCCGGTTCTAATCATTTAATTTATCAGACAGACACCAGGGCCGAAGCTGCGAACTGTCAAATGAACAGTCAGCAATCAACCAATGAAGTTGAAACAGTTTATGATATGACTGCTGACCAGAGATTGTCCAATCGTACAGACAGTTCTGTGACAACAACACCTGATGAAAGCATAACGCGTGGGCGAAACGAAGAACATGCAGTAGGTTGTCATGGCACCGGCGAACTTTATAGCATGGACACAACGGCCGAAGCTTTGAACTGTAGAATACACGATCATTTTGATACCCCCATTGATGAAGTAGATCAAGTAGAGACAACTGATGAAGAGGCTGACAGTAGCACTGTATCAGATCGTGGGGCGATGTTAGAAGGTCTTGATACGCATGGTCCTAACGATGAATATAGAACAGAATATCCAGAGAGTATTGTTAATGACGAGTATATGGATATCGTAGAGGAAGCTGAATAGAAAATTGGAACCTAACTGACAATGGGTTGTAGGTGATGTCTTGTGCTCCTTTTTAACTTTGTAGATTGTTTTGCCTTTTTATCTCATTGCATTATTCAAATTGTTGTCTTAATCATAATCATATTGAGTTTTGCGAGTGTATTCAAATGAAAATAAAGAATATGATAATACTGATGATGAGTTTTTCTTTTTTGAGTTTGATTTTCTGCAACTCTTAATGATGTTACCCATGTATAGAGGTATTCAGTAAAGTGTCGTTTCCTTTGAGTGTGATTTCATTAAAATTACTCCTATATAAGCGTAAACAATAACAATAAACGGCGAATAGCAACTATAATTAAAAAACCCCAGGAAATTACTTGAAACTGTCAACTTGTTATTGTAGCAGGGACGACACATGTGCCATGACTATATGTATATAATAAAAAGCAATGATTATATGTATATAATAAAATGCAATTTGGCTATATGTACGTAATGAAAACGCAATGATTATATGCATATACTATAATTGAAAATATGAATATATGTACAGAATTTTTCACACGTAAAAACGCTCCCGAAATTAAAGTTTTTTTGCTTACGTCACACCGTTGCCAAGAAAGGTGCAATGATGGGCGAATACTTTGTGGCATTGGCAGCGTCGCCTACCGGATTTGTCAGGAAGTCCAATAGAACTCTGGTCGATATAAATGTTGGCCTCATGACTCAACTGCTTCCTGATTCATTACAAAGTAGACTTTCTGCACGTGAAAATTTTGAGCAAAAGAGAAATGACAAGCACATAGATGTAAGTACAAATTTGGTGCAATTTATTTCTCTTTAAACATCATGACTTCTACACACATAGGTTAAAGGTCACAACAGAGAGAGCTTTTTGTCCTACAATGATGTTATGCTAAACAATGTTTATTTGATAGATGACATCCTATATAAATTTCATGTCAGCATGCAAAAATACACATTTAACTAAATTCGCAACAAAATTTTACAGTGTGCGTTCATTTTCAAACATAATTTGTTCCTTCATTTTATGATATTCTTCTAAATCAATAAAAAATGTGTAACTCATAGAGTCAATAGTTGAGAGTGTTTGGAATTATAGTTACTTCCCCTTGTGAAAGATCATTTTGGAAACAAAATGAAATATACAAAATCAAAATTACTTTCATACCTCTGCCTTCTTTTTAAAAATCATGTTGTTTGCTGCTGAAGCTATGAACAAGCGACAGTGGATATTAATAGTGACACTTCCTGTGGCCGGGCTGACTTGTAAGCTGATTTGGAATGAATGTTGGCATCTAAGCTCCTACTAAAAGGTTCCTCCACAGATCTAGAGATAAAAGTCTAAAGTAGAGTAGGTTTAGGGGCAATTATGTGACATTTTGGCCCCAAAATTAGAAATATGCAAACAGAACCCTCCATGGGAATGGCATGTAGAGCCTACTTTTAGCATACTTTCAGAGGGAAGGATATGTTACATAATGACCTTTTAATAAGGATATTGTATCACCTTATGTGCTTACATTGGAAAAAGAAAGGACATGAGACTTGTTTAGCCTCCATAGCATGCCAAAAACTGGGTTTTTTTGGGGTCTTCATGGTCTTTGTGAGCTTTTATGTGCTATTTTATGATTGCATATAGACAACATAGCCGGCCTGGTTGAATTATCAGAATAATCAGAAAACAGCTGAAGACCACCAAACCCCCAGTTCTATAAGCCTGCTATGGAGGCTAAGACTTGTTTTTCCTCCCTATTCTCTGGAGAGTTGTTATACCAGCTCTACCTTCCATCTACATGCATTATTCAGTACTAATGGATAGTGAGCTGAAAGTGCAAACTTCATTAGTGCATTTTCTCACATATTGCAAACTTTTGCATTATTTATTGACACATCAGACTTATAATACAGCCAGCTGATAATAGCTGCATGTCGCTGGACATTATACAAGTCTCTCTCTCTCTCTCTACACACTGTAAATATTTCATTTTCTTGTCATGCTATAACACTCTTGAACAAAAATATAATTTGATAATTAGATACACATGTATATAGTCCTGATGAAGAGAACAAGTTATAGCTCTGTTTTCAGTGTGCAAAGTACATGTTTCTAAACATTATGGCCTAATCAATATTATGTTCAATATCATGGTGTCAATAGTTGTGTAAGTTTCAGGGTATTGAAATAGTTTAGTACATTTGGCAATGAGTTGTCAAGCTTTTTATACAGTTAATTGTGAAACTTTTGCAGAAGTTCTATTTTCGACCACAAATTCATTAAACTGTGATTATGTCTTTCCTGTATGACTTAGTGGTTAACTGGCTAGAAAAACACACGTCAGCAATCAAGTGACATTCGCCTCCCCTTTGAACTTTGTTGGTATGCTCTAAAACACAACGGGTACATTTCAAAAGTCACACGGCAAGAGTAAGCACTGTTAATCATGAAACATGTCTTTCTTGTATGATTACTGTTTAAATGTGAATTCAAAACACTGTGCAAACCTCCCTTTCCCTCCTAATGTGAAAGAAAACCACTTGCAGAAGTTTCACGATTTGCAATACTCAAAAACATGTTCCTTGCCTATACTACATGAATAACGGGGCATTAACATCTGTTGGCATTAACATTTTATTTTGATTCTGACATTCAATATATTTTATTACTTTCCCTGTGAGAAGGATTGAGTACTTCATGTAACGTTCAGGACTATTATGCACAAAAAATTATCATAAGAATACCTTGTTCTTAATTCATTTACCAACTAAAATTCATTTAAGAAGTTTGGTGCCATAGAAGTTTTGTGTACAACTTAGGACAACACATGTTCTGTGTCTTCTTCTACAAGACAATTCTATCTGACAAGACTTCCAGTCTTTTCATTTAGAGAGTATATTTTACGACATAAACATTATACAAAACTCACACTAGCTCCAAGAGGCACACGGTACGTTACTAGACACTACATTGATACTTGCATTGCTTAGTTATACCCACTTGTGGGGAGGGGGGCACGGAATACCATATCGGTAGTGAATTTTGTTCCTCGGGTACTCCAGTGTACCCAAGCAGTTGTTCTAGTCTATATTGTTTCAAAGATAAACTCTCCAGCGACAAGCCTTCCTTTTTATCTGTACAGTTCTTTGTTTTTCGTCAGTTCCATAAAATTCTTGTTACATTGCAACACACAAGCACTAGATTAC